CCTCCTAAAGTTTAAGCAAACGAAAGCTTTGAGGATTAGATAATTTCCTTCACGAAATATGACTCCTAGTATGGACTGTGATTTCACCAGTCTGATCATTTGTTAGGCAGACCACGGTAAACATGGAACTGAAACACCAGATTTTTGAATACTCCGATTTTAATTAGAAATCAACGCCGAAGCTATAGGTGACGCAAGAGAGGACGAGAGGTCATCTGGTAGCCTGCTTACTCTTTCATCGTCCATTTGCCAAAAATCGATCATCTGACAGCCTCAAGTAGAAGCTAATGCTTACCACGACCTGTTTCCAATCCGGCTGCAGACTATCACAGTTGGAAAATCTCCACTCAAGAAATTGTGCGGACGCATTCTTGATGTACAGTCTTCTGTGTGCTAAATAGCTGCTGAAATGAATCCCTTCACAATAAAGAGAGAGGGCCAGCTTGCAATTTCGTAAATTTCAAGTTCTAAAGTGAAGGTTTTCTGGAAAAAAGTAGTCGGCTTGAATTTCACTGCGTAGACAAACCTTCTTGACATTTGAATCAACGACTGGGCGCAAACTTCAACGAGATGAAGCACGACAATACTATGCAACGGGCCGCTCAAAAGCTGTGTCTATTCTGTACAGTAAGTCAGCAATTTACCCAAAAAAGAGTCTGTGTCGTCCAACTAGTTGTTAACCTGATAAAAATTTCGTGAGCAGAATTTAGTTCTTTCCACATTTGCCTATATCGGGGTCAGGAGATCATCTGATTCTTTAAAATTTCTTCTAGTTGTTCTTGATAGCGTGCGCAATATGCACGAATGTTGTTTTCCAAACACTCGATGACGTACTTCTATAAACGCGCAAGGGATACTTGGGTACTTGTCTTTGTCGGTAATGCCTTCTGCCTATATCATTAACCGCTGTGTGGCTGCTGGTTGGGCTCGAGAGAGACCCTGTAAGGCACAACGGGACGAGTGAGCTCCGTAAGAACGATCGGTGAGCGTCCCTCCACCATTATATATTCCCGATCGCAACCGACGGGACAACGGGTCCGTGGCCCAGTGGTTAGAGGCGTGGGCCTCTAACTACCAGGTCGCGTGTTGGAGTCCCAGGTGTTCCACACATTGAGGTTGGGTATGACTGGCTGGCGACGGCTAATAAGCCAGAAATGGCCATTCCAGTCTCCCTTGTCTTTGTCGGTAATAACATTCTGCCTATACTTAGGTCGATTAGATAGCTGAAGACGTACAATGAAAGTGTACATGGCCGTGATACACCAGTGGAAAGACTGAGGAATGTTCGGTTACAGACGCCCACCCCCCTCCCAAATATCTCGAATCCGAATTTTGAGCCTCGATCTCAAATCATGTGTTTATACTAATCTTCATTCGCTGCCTCAAGAAGCATCTAGCCGTAACCTAGATCGTAAACTTGTCTCAAAATTTATTTCGTAAACCGACATAGATACTTATTTCACCGTAAACAAAAGGGCCAGAAGACATTTTGCGCCACTGACTAGCCCCGCGTTTAGCTCCTTACCTTAACCTTAAACCTCAGTCTCTTGACACGGCGAAGCAAAAAAGGGAAGACCACATGTTGGGCGGTTGTATATAAGGGTTCTTACCGTGTATATGGTCGGCTAGTAATGAGAACGGCAGGTAAATTAGTTGACGCCCCACCTTTGGGCCGCCACTTCCCCTCCCTCAAGTATCTTCTTGCATATATTTCGGGTTTAAGTGTTAACCTTGTAATTTCCCCAGAAATTATTGAAAGTTGTCTGAACTGGAATCCTCAAGTCCAGTTTCGGATTACTGCTACCAACTTCAAACTTAGTTGGTACAGTTAGAAAATTGTTGCAGGTTTACTTGAGTTTACTCAGAATTGTAGTGGATAGCGCATGGTAGTAAAGACACCTCTTATTACGGGTGGCGTTGCGGCAAATTCCAGAGAGGGTTAGGAATAGGGTTACGGGGGTTAACTGAATGGTTTAGGGTTCAAGTAAGTACACGAGAATAGGCGGCCTCTGGAATTCGGCCCAAGTTAGATTGCAGTGCGGAGCCAAATTCCAGGGGGTGTTAGGAATAGGATTAGCATGCCTCTGGCCTTCCTGCTTGCGGTATGACATCGTTCACGGACTGCAGGCTACAATTTCACTTCATGTAGAAAATCGGGAGGACACCAACCACTCGCTGTAACCTCGGTAATTAACTTTAAGATCTGTTGCCACTGAAAGGGCGTCAAGAAAACCCCAAAGATAACTACAGTCTCGTCTGAACAAGCATTGCTCCACAAATAGCAACACGTTTGCGTTCTGAGCAGTGACTATAACAGGCCAGGACAGCTAAAAGTGGTACAACTCAGGCCTCAGGCATGATATGCAGATCCTAGCTTATAAAACCAGGCATATAAACCTCTCCCGGCTTGCAAGCTATTGAAACCCTATACCTATACTGGCGAGGATTGGGTGTCTGCAAGCGACTTACTAAAGTCAGCTGTGAAGTCGAATCAGAGACAACTGATAATCACCCCACTGGTGGCGTAATCTGATAACCGTAAACCCATAGGTCCTGTTTGATTTTGTTTATTTGACTGAAAAGGTGTTTTTATGCCTCTGGATGGCGTTAATTTTACGTGTTATGACCTTGACAAGTCCGCATGCACCATAAAGATGCTGTGCTGATTAGCCAGCGGGCATGTTTGCCAGTGTCTTTCCAGGATTGTCTTCCTACTTTGTCTCACGCCATTGAATTGGAATCGTTACTGCACTTTCACCCCTTGATTATATCGATTGACGCCGCCTAACTGCGCTAGCCTCCAGGCTTTTATCAAACCGACGAGCTCACCTATCTACATCAGACGAGATAACTACTCACGTAGGCAAATCCGCGCCACTGATATCCCAACAGCCAGGTGTGATGAGCATTCATGATAATTTGGGTAAAGAAAAAATCGATGAGGGGCAGAGTCGAGCGAATGGGACAGCGAGTCTTGATAAATATGTGAACGCCATTCTCACGTGACTTTGAGGATTCCTGATTGCAGCCGCCAGAAAGCGAGTCCATGACAAACAGAACCCGAACTAGGACCTCGGGTGTTTGTGACCAACAGGCGGGGCATGGCTAAATGAATAAGGCTAATAATTCAAATAGGCCATTTCTGACAGTCTTGCCCTTGCGCATCGACGTAAAATTTCTGTTCGAAGTTGTCATTCGATTCAGTTCGGTGAAATGTAGAACGGGCCCAGCTGTTGAGAAAGTCACATGGCTATCACACTTCTCGCATAAATTTCTTCGTAGTCGTTTTCAGGTAGTGTACTCTGCTTACCTGGCTTAAATGTTGTCAAACAAACGGTCCGCAGACGGATGACAGGATCGCTTGGCACTAGATTTCCTAGGGTTATAAAGTTCCTTCAAGGGTAAAAAGGAAACATTGCGGTTGAAGGTAAAGTTTGGAGCGATCGTTTGATCATAAAGCATGATCTACATAATGCTAGGAGAAAAAGTCTGCTCACTTCATCCTGCTGGGCTTTGACTGAAATATGCTCATGAAAACCATCGCCGAAACGTTCTATGATGGATATATAGAACGAACGCTCACAGGAATGACTGCGTCAAAGGCCTCCATCATCTCTTCACCGCTAATTCGACGTCGAGGTGACGACCTAAAGATATACAATCCTCAGGGATTTGCGTTGTATGGATGAAAGATAAGAGGGTGGGGATTAGAGGTAAGGTGTTTATGTCGACAATCGAACACAGAGCTTGTATATGGGCTTTTTTCCGTTAGGTCACATAAAATAAAATAAAAAGTAGCACATATCTGCGGTAAAACACTCTTTTTTGCCTATTTTTTCTTCAAAATCACAACCACATTTAGACTCTTAACCGTGGGTAGTGTGAAGGATCAGAGATCATATGGCTTTGCATCAATGAATATTTTGAGATTGGATCTATGCTCCTTCCCCATCCTAAGCAAGACACACAACCGAATTTATGTGTACTCCACAAATGTGACAATCACACTGTGCAAAGCATGAGGAATTTCATGCAATTTACTGTGTAGTGGTTCCAGGCCGTGTGGTTACGTGGCGGGGACGAATACTGCAGCTGCCCCTACTACTACTACTACTACTACTACTACTACTACTACTACTACTACTACTACTACTACTACTACTACTACTACTACTACTACTACTACTACTACTACTACTACTACTACTACTACTACTACTACTACTACTACTACTACTACTACTACTACTACTA